AGCTCATGAAGACCCCACGGCGGAAGCCAGAGTCAGTGGAGGACCTGTCAGGCATTAAGCAGCTCCTGAGGACCCCGCAGCAAGAGCTAGTACCACTGACAGATGAAAATGCCTTGAAAAGGCTGCTGGAGACTCCAGTCGAGAGCAGAGAAGCAGAAAAATCTGTGCCAGGTGTGGCTTCAACCAAGAAAACCCCAAAGCTGAAACCCCAGCCCGTGGAAGACATGGTTGGGATCCGCCGCATTTTCCAGACGCCAAAGGAAAAGGTGGAACCCGTAGAAAACATGTTTGGAATTAGCAGATTAATGAAGTCTCCTAAAGAGAAATATGAACCAGTTGAGGATTTTGTGGGGCTGCAAAGGCTCATGGCAGAACGCAGACAGAAATATTTTGATTCTGAGGTGGACTATGCTGGAGTGACTGAAATGTTTGGCACCCCAGAGGAAATGAAGGTAAAATACTTCAGCTTTTGGAAAGGATGTTTGAAATCTGTGACTGAAATGAATTTGGACTTCCTAGTATGACACTTTGTATCTTGCAACATTTTTTAGGGACAGCTGCATTTTGTGTGTATGAAAATATGTTTATTTGAAAGGACCTATCACAAATGAGTGTTTTAAGGTTATTTAAGTATCATTAAAAGCAGGTTTAATATAGAAGGGATAAGCTTAATATTAAAGTGACATTCCCAGCATCTCATTCACCTTTCCACACTGACCATTACAGTTAGGAGAAGTGAAGTTCTCCAGTCAGTGGGTCAGGCTTGGTGATGTCTGTGTCCAGCCTGGTTTGTTCTGGTGCTGCTTTTTATTGTGAGAACCTTGATCTTCAGTGGAGATGTGTTGGCAATCAATGCCAGTATCATTTTCTGAAAAAAATGATTGTGATTCTCATATTCCTTAAATAAAATTCTGAATATCCCTGGGTTTAGTGCTTAAAACTACAATAAAGCACTACAGAACATTCAATTTCTCTTCAATACTCCAAATTCCCTTTGAGCACTCATTTAGACACTTCTCAACCTCTCCACAGTGTTGTCTTTCGCTTTAGATGGCAAGAATTGAATTTGCTATGTTTGTGGGTTTATATCAGATAAATTAATGCATTTATAAGACTAATTGATTTAATTTGTAAAGAAAAGGGTTTGACAAGCATTTTTATAAATATTGCTGTACATTGATCTGATACTGGTTGGCTCCATAAGTTCTTGTCCTGTCTGACATGCATTTATTGGTTACTTTTTATTCCTTTAGGTCAGATCAGTAAATGTTACGGATTCTCAGGGAGAAATTGGTTCTAATTCCAGTCATAAACATGGTAAGCACAAATATTTTGTTTAGAGGAATAATGAATATATAAAATCATAAATGTTACCATGAAATTCAAATCCTTGTTTAAACCTCTCTCAGTGAGCCCAGCTATTTCCTGAGCTAAGATAATTTTTACCCTTTGACCTATTCAAATAAATTAACTTCAGTCAGAAGCCTGGCCTTTAACCTGGGAATTGGTTAAATATTTCTTTATTTACGGTATGATTTGTTTGAGCAAGATGCCTTTGTGAGGAAAATGGAAATACACTGATATTTTGATCAGGCACAGGAATGTCTAATTTTTGTTTGTGCTCTTTATCCTGTTCTAGAAAAGAGAGGAAGATTTTCCCAAGGTGAAGATTCTCAACAGAAGGACTCAACTGGTGAAGAGCAGCCTACCCAGAGACTCAGAAGGGGCAGATCCAGGAGGGCTCTACCTCCTGCTGCAGCAAAGCCAAGTGAAAATGGTGTGAGTTTAGAGTTGCAGAGTCCTGACACCCAAGAGGAGATGGAAGTGATCACACCTGAAAACAAGGGAAGAGGAAGGAGGACAAAGCATTGCACACAAGAAGTTGTTCCAAAGTGCCCTGATCAGCAGGGGCTTGACCTTGTTTCATCTGTGGAACCACCTGGAGCTGCTCAGAGACCAGGGAGAGGTAAAAGGAAAGAGCTGAAGGAGTCAAAACATCCAAATGAAAATCTGGAGTCCTGTGTTGAAGATTCCTCAGTGCTACAAAAAGCACCTGCAAGTACCAAACAGAGTTTGCAGGACTGTGGCATCAATGAAACTGAAGATGATCCAGGCACAAAGACAGGACCTGGAAACATTCAGAGTGAAACTTGTCAGCTGCAAACAGATTTAAATGATCCTGATAGCAAAGCTATTGAGAGTGGGATAAAGAACAGTGAAGAAGTGTCACTGAGGAGGAGGCGCAGAGTAATGGAAGACACAGAACCAGTGATTCCACCAAAAAGGAGACGAGCAAGGGACAACCAAGGTAAAGCAGCTTCTCCAGGAGGCCTTCATGGAACAACCAGAAAGCTTCGTAAAGACCCATCCCCAAACATTTCACAAAGACAGGAACAGGCTTGTGACAAAGCTCCTGAGGCTGTCACAGCACAAGAATCTGAAAGTGGCACTAAACTTGAACTAAAGGCAACAGAGACAAGAGTTAAGTCTTTTAGAAGCACTAGAAACAGAAAGCACTCAGCTGAAATAAAAGCTGACACTCGTGGGGTTGCACTTGAAAATCCACAAAACATTCAGAAAACTGAGGAAACATCAACTGAAACTGATGCTGAAATGCAATCCCACGTGAAAAATGGGATTAAAGGATCTCAGGGATCAGAAACAGAAAATGCTCAGGAAAATACAACACAGGCAGCTCGAAGATTAAAGGCAGAGTCACCTTCTGCAGAGACAAACAAAATGCCAGTCAGTGCTCAGAACTTGGAAGCAAACAGGGCTAGAAACAGGAGAGGCAAAAAAGACTCTTTGGAGCAGAGAGCTGATGAATTTACTGAAAATGTGAACAGCCTAAAACCAATTACTCCCAAATTTAAATCAGAAACAGAAGTGGATGAATCTTCTCTCCAGGATTCTGTGGGCTCTCTTCGTGTCAGTGCAGCCCAAGGCAGGAAGGAGCAGCCCAGCCCAGGTGCCACATCAGCCCCTGCTGCAGACAGTGCCAGGCCTGCTCAGGGCACTCAAAGGAGGACGAGGAATGAACGAGGAATACTTACAGCAAAGCAAACTCAAATCCTGCAGGGGAGTCCAGCACAAAGAAATGCAGTGATGTGTAGAAGAGGAACAGGTAAAAAAGTTAATTTTCAGCTTGAAGAAGGCAGTTCCAAAGCAGCTGAAGGAAAAAGTTTACCTCAGGGTGATGAAGGGGTGACTGACAAAGATAATCAACATGAGAATTCCGAAAATGCTCCTTCACAGGGAAGGAGGAGCAGGAGAAAGCAACTTGACTCCATCCCACAAAAAGCTAGTCCTGCCTTCATGGAAAAACAAGCATTAAGTGCAGATCACAGGAAAGATGAGGCTGCTGTACAAGAGCCAGGATCAGCTTTGGAGGCTGCTCCTTCTTCAGCAGAGGACAACCCACCGAGGCGGGGGAGGAGACGTGAGGTGGCTGCAGCATCACAGACCAGATCTCCTTCTGTCAGAACGAGACGTGGGCTGCTGCAAGGTGATGCTAAAAAAATGGCAGAGAGAGAAGAGGAAAACCCAGCTCTGGCTAGTAAAACTTTACAGGCAAAAGTAAATGCACCAGCAAGGGACAGAAGGAACAAGATGGATCCGGCAGCAGAGGCAAGAAGTTCATCTCCTCTGCAGAGAAAATGTGGCTTGTCAAAGACTAAAGATAAGGGTACTGATGAAGAACAAAATGTGCCTTTGGAAGCAGTGTCCTGTGCAAAGGAGAAGCCAGCAGGAAGGGGCAGAAGGAAAGAAACTGCTCTGGCACCACACACAACCAATTCCATCTCTCTTCGAGGGAAACGTGGGTTGCCAGCAGGTGACGGAGAAGAAGCTCCCAAAGAAGTGCCGAATGTTCTCTTAGAAACTTGTGATCCATCTGGAAAAGAAAATCAACTGAGAAGAGGCAGGAGAAAGGAAATCGCCCTTCTGATAGAAGCCAAAAGTTCTATTCAGGGAAACCAGGTCCTGTCAAAACAAAGTGGTAAAAAAAATAACAATAAGGAAGCTAAACAGAACTTGGACAATTCTCAAGAAAATATGGGGCTTGTAAAAGGGAACTCAAGGCAAGCAACCACTTCACTGGCTCTTAGTCCCACCTCACTTCAGGGTTTGCCAGAAGATAGTAAAGACAGAATTCCTGAAGAACAAAGTAAACTTTTGGACGTAGCTCCACCTGCAAAAGAAAATCCATCAAGAATGGGCAGGAAGAAAGCAGCTTCTTCCACTTCTGAAGAAACAAGTTCCACTTCTCTCAGGGGAAATCCCAACCTGCCCAGAGGTAGAGGTCAGAAGAGGATTCTTAAAGGAAGTGAAGATGCATCTCCAGAAAATAATCCATGCCAGGGAAGAACAAGGCAGTTGAGAAATGGGAGGAAGGTGGAAGTCCCACTGGAGGCAGCTACTTCTGCTCCTCATAAAAGCAGTGGCTTGGCAGAAAATGGCAACACTCTGGGAACTCAGGGTTTGAGTGGAGCATCCACTGGTTCTGAAGAGAATCAGTCTGGAAAAGGCCAGGAGGGTGACCCTGCTCCACAGGCAGCCCCCACCTCTCGCAGAAGGAAGTGCCAGCTGCCAGCAGAGGATGTGGCACCCAAAAAATTAAAATCAGGTGAGGCAAGGCTTGGCTTTCTTTTCTCTAAAGCTGGCTGAGTTTGTGTAGATCCAACAATCGTGTGCAGAGCTCTGGGGGCTGCTGATGTAGATCACAGAATCATGGGCTCATTTAGGTTGGAAAAGATCCAAGATCCCAGCTCCCTCAGCTGCTCCTGGGGCTCCATTCCCTTCCCTGGTCACACTCCAGCCCCTCCACGTCCCTCCTGGGCTGAGGGACCCAAACTGGGCATGGCACTGGAGGTGCCTCCCCAGTGAAAGGGACAGCCGCTGCCCCAGCCCTGCTGCCACCTCAGATATTCCCTGGAATTTTCAGCTTGACTTAAAAACTCCCAATTAGAAAATATTATCAAATGAATGCCTTGAAGTAGAAGTGACAGCAAAGACCTGCCTGCCATAAAACCTACTTTTTGTAAATTTTGCAGGACTTTGGTGTTGGTCCTGTTTTAGGTTTACATGTCACTGGAAGGAATTTTAGCTACAATGGCAGCTAATTGGTTTTGGTGCTCTCATTAATGTTAACCTACTTTCAGAAATAGCTGTAAATCCTCAGGGATCCAACTTAAAGGATATTGGATGTGCAGAAGTGTGGGGTTGGTATCTGGTTTGTTGAATTCAGAGATGTAATATTTGGAATGTTGTCATTGGGGATGTTTCCTTTCAAAACAATGTAGGTGAAGATGGAATTTTGTAGGAAATGTTTGATTGATGATACAAATTGATATTTTTCCATGTGCAAATAGGGAATGATGAAAATGGGTCTCTCCAAAGAGGAAGAAGAAACAAAACTAAGCTTGGAGAAGAGGATGCAAGGGCAGCTCAGACCACTGGAGGGATGGAGAAGAGGACAAGATCCAGCACAAGAACAAGGAAATAGCCTTAAGAGTCCAGAAGCAGTTTTTAAATCAATTCAGTAATTCCAGTTATAGGATTTTTTTTATGTGAATTGATTTGCACTCTAATTTTAAGCTCAGATTTTTGTCAATTCTATGGTTGCTTTACAAAATTTATTTCTTAATGTGTCTACAGATAGAAGGTAGATATTTCTTGAGTAGCTTTGCCAACATGTGGTAATTTCTAAACCATGGGGTGCTTGTGCAAAGCTGCAAACATAAATTACATTTTGTTTTACCAGTGTTTCTCCCCTTTTTCCTGTTGATCAGTACAACAATTAGGAAGCCATATTACTGCCAGCTAAAGCTATTTTCTGCTGATAATTTCCTATGTTTAAATTTTATTTTTCATTGGAGTTCTGTAAATATTCTTTCTTTAAAAATATAGTTGTATTAGCAGAAGTATTATGCTAAATTTTTAATAAGTTTTTTTAAAAAAAGAATAAATTTTAATTGAAAAGTGCAGGTTTTGAAGTCATTAAACGTATAAACAGTTTGGGACTCGTGTGGTTTTTTGGTTTTAAGAATGCTTAAGGATATAATTGCTGCTGTCTTACAAGTTCATTTCTAAGATTCATCCTCAGGTTGATGTGGTTTGCAGACAGAATTTTTAGGACCTTATACAGCTAATTTGTCTTCAAGGCTGGGGGCTTCTTAAATGCAGAAACTGAGAAAATTCAGCCTGGGCATCAAACTTGTGTGCAGTTTTTAGACCTGATTTAAAATCCTTTTTTTATGTGGTGTGTGAGGAGTTGGGGCTGTTTTCTGCAGCAGAGCTTTTGGAACTGGAATTGTTCAGGCTGGAAAAGACCCTTAAACTCCAAACCTCAGATCTGATGTAACATTATGAATTTCTTTTTTAAATTTAGATTGAGTTTTGTGCTTGTTTGTTTTTTATCATGTGGAATGTGCTCTACTCATATCCACAGGAAGTTTTTATTTAATTGTAATGCACTTTTTTTTTTAATTTACTTAATTCTAGTGTGAAAAATCCAGTCTGTCCCTACATCCAGGGTTGCTCCATCCCAGCTGCAGAATCTGGTACTTCCCCTTGAACTTCTCATAGTTAAATATGAGAAGTGGAATATACTGTGCTGGGGGGTCTTTTGGTTTGGTTTGGGGTTTTTTTGTGTTTTTTTAAACTGTTTCCCAATCATGACATTCCTAAAATTTTAGCCCTGAAATCTCAGAGGAAAGCACAATTTTACCATCTCTACTAAAATCAGAACTGTCTCCTCTGTGTAAGCAATGCCAGTGCCATGGTTGGGAAATACAGGGATCCACAGGAATATTTTTCTGGTTCTAAGAAGTTGTTTGAGTTTTTTTTCCTCCAGACTTTCTGATCTGTCACTTTTGGGTTTGGTCCTAGTTCAAATCTAACAAAAGCTCAGCTGAGATGAAGTGCCTCAATTCCAGAGCTGGGGTTTCTCCCCAGGATGAAATCTGTGGATAAACTAAACTTGAGGAACATCTGAAGTAAATATCCTTCTATAGTACTAAAAAATCAGGAATTGTCTCTTCCTGCCATTGCCACTTTCCCAGGTGCCTCACTGAGACTAAGAAGGAATCGTGGTCAGTCTCCTCCGAGGTGGGCAGAGTGTCCCTAAGGAATGTGTCCCACTGCTTTTTTAGGAATTTTGCTTTTTTAGGAACTGGAGACCTCTCCAAAGTCAGATCCCAGCTTTTGTAATGAGCACACACGTCCTGTGGAGACCTCTGCAAGTCCAGAAGTGTTTGGTGAAGACATGGACAAGGTAGGATGGGGATTCCCAAAGCAAAGGTTCATTTGGGGAAGTCCCTCAAAAAGTGATGTTTCTGTGCCATTTTTGGGAGTGTTCTACAGCCAGCCAGGGAAAACAGCAGCTTAAGGTTCATGACTGATGCATTTTATTGTACATAAACCTGGGTTTGGTTGTGGGGACACTGCAGCCACCCAGGCCAGGGCTTGCTCACTGTCCAGGACATTTCCAGAGGGAATTTACTCTGTGCTCTTTTGTAGAACTGACATTTAACATTAATTTCTGTTGATCCTTGATTCTGATTGAATTCCCGATTATAAATTTGATAAAGATGTATTTTATTTTATAGGCAGCTCCAGTTCCACTCAGAAAATTTGAAACTGCAAATCCTACCTCAAGGCAGATAATTCTGAGGGAGAGCTGTGATCTTTTACCTGAGGGGTCAGCCAAAGAAACAAATCTTTCCTTAAGGAGAACTTCCAAATTATCTTCTCTGTATTTTCTGTAAGGCTACATCTTCATTGTTGGTTGTGTGGCAGCACAAATTTAAAAAAAAAAAAGGAAATGGTAGGAAAATTTCATTGCAAATGTTTTGCATTGTCAGTCTTTTTGATTTTTAATCTGGGCAGATGATTTTAAGGAAAGAAGGAAAGGAATGGGACATGAATAAAATCAGGAAGCAGAGATTTCTCTTAGTTACCCATGATTGTTGCTTGCATTTACAAGTTCCTGGGTATAGATATATCTTATTTCTTTTTATGTCTGTGAATGGATTTAAAGCTAATTTCTCCAGTGATTTTGAAGGAATAGTACAGAATAAGTATTTTAAATTTTGTGTAAATATGGCAAGCTGCCTGTTATTTAATTTCAGCCTCATTTATGTAAAAACCACTCCAAAACCATTGAGTCCAAGGCCACTACTATCCCATGTCCCCATATGCCACATCCTCATGGCATTTAAATCCCTGCAAAGTATTTATTATTTAAGCAGGAGCATTATTTTTCCAGAGGTGTAGGTTTGAACCTCCTTTTTCTCCTTTTGATGGCACTGTCACTGCTGTGCTGTCAACTGTCACCGTTCCCTGTGGGGACCTCCATCTATCCTCTAAATTTCATCTCCACACTTATTAAAAATAGATGGACTTTCTGCTTCCACTACATAAATAAGGTTCAGAAATCAACTTGATTGTCACAGAGAGTTTCAAAACTTCCTGACAACAAAACTGGATTTTAATATTTCAGCCCTGCCTTGCCATCAATGCCACAGCCCTGCCTGTTCCTGACAGTCTCTTTCATATCCAATTTCCTTCCAGACTTCTTGGCTTAAAAGAGTTCCTTTTCAGCAAGACAAACTGCTTAATTACATGAAATATGGTAAGAAAACTCACACTGGTTTGAATTTTACACCTTTTAATTTGTCTCTTTCCATGGCATTCCTCCCATGCCTTGACCCAGAGGCGTGATGCTATTTTGGGAGAACGGTTGTTAACCCTGGAGCCCAGCTGTAAACACCCCCAGAATTTTGGGAAATTCTGTAATTTCCCAAAGGCTGGGCTGTGATGGAGGCAATTCTCAGAGATTAACAGAGAGCAGGTAATTGATGATCTTTGAGGACATTGTCTCCATAGATTCCCACTCCAGCTTCCTTCCCTGTTCCTTTAGAATGTAATGTGTGGCTGCTACTCAGAGGAGGTCACAAAAAAAAAAAAAAATCCTGGAGACAGATAGGAACTCCCACCCTTTTAAAGAAATTCCATGTGAGGTTTCCTGCCACTTTAAAAGTTGTAATTAGTGAATATTCTGAGGTTTGCAAACACAGGCTGGAATCTGTGGATAAACTAAACTCAAGGAATATTTCCTGAAATGAATTTTCCTTCTGTAGTACTGAAAAAAAGAAATGAAAAGCCCACCTGGAAATAAAATATCAGGAGTGTGGGGAACTTTTGATGGTGCTCATGGCAGATATTTTTATCTTTTATTTTTATGGCTCTGTAAGTGGCAGGTAGGTCAGAACTTGTCAGCCTGTGACAAGCAGTGGACATTAACACTAAAAATTGGGAAAAATCAGTGTGTTTGAAAGTTAAAAACCCAATCCTGTTCTAACTTCAGCATTATAAATTTCCCTTTTTTATTTAATGAATTTAAGCAAATCCTCCAGATTAATTTTTTCTCCAGTAGGGCTTTTGAATTTCAGTAGAATGCAGTATTGTGCATGGCTAAAATCCACCCCTGGAATCCCAAAGTTTGATAGCCACAACTTTTATAGGACACATGGCAGAAAGAGTAAAACTTTCTACTGTATTGCACTGAAATTATCAGTGTTTTTAACACTACTTGTAGTGCTGCTATTAGAATTATCTGAATAAAGTTACTACATTTTAGAACTTATTTTTTTAAGATATCAAAATCTTCCCAGAAAGTTCCTCATGATTTGTTTTCCCTCCTAAAATTGGATGGATATTTAAAACAAAACCTGTGTGAGAGGAGTTTCACTCCACAGAGTTCATTTAGCAATTAAAAAACCTATTTTGACTTCAGCAGTTTAAAATCTGCTGATGCAAATCCTTCAACACAAATTTCCCAGCTCCAGGAGAGATCTGGACTAAGTGAACTGCAACACTTTGAAACAGGAGTTTAATCCAGTTTAACTCAAGTTTAAACTCAAGTTTCAACCTGGACAGACACAATAATTTGTTGGATTGGAGTTGTTCTCTGTTCTGGTGGGACATGAAACTTCTTAACAATAAATTGCAGCTCTTTTATTAAACAAAAAAACTTATGGTTTCCAGAAAAATACCATTTTTTGCTATTTGTGGTATGAGATCAAAGGACTGCACAGCTTTGCAGCCATCTGAAAAGTAAAAGTATATTTCTAAATTTCTCAATTCTAAGTAAAAGTTTATTTCAAAAATTAATTTAATGTTAATATTTAGCTTTTTAATAGAAATACTATAAAGTAAGTTATGTCTGTATGAAATTATTCTAAAATATTTTTATATTTAATATTCAGCTTTTTAGTTTTTTAAAATATAATTTCCTTCAGTGAGAGGATCACATTTTCTAGGACATGATGGAATGAAACTTGGGATTTTGTGCAATTTAGAGAGTTTTCCAGGCTGCTTGGTGGAAGAATGTAAGGAAATCTTAGTGACTCCTGTGTGGCACAGGAATGAATTCCTGATTTTCCCCTCTGCTCCTTCCAGAGGGAGCTGCATCTCCGTCTGGGTCTGATGTTCTCACTTTGG